TTTTTCAAAAATTGGTGATGCAAAAAAATAACCATTTTTTTCTCAACGTTACAAAAACTACTGGGAATTTTTCCCCCTGAATGCATCAACTAGATTCTTTTTTACATCAGAAAAGATGCTAATATCGAAAATTGGAGCATTTTTACTAGCTAGGTATCCTAAATGTTGATGATGAAAAAAAATACACACACACATCACAGTTAATACAATATACATTCATCTCTACGCTAACAATCTAAAACTGATTTTACAAAAAGTGTAGGTACTTTAGTGAAGGAAAGTCAAATGGGATTTTTTGTGGGACTTAGCCTCCATATACAATTTTAGTAGCCACGCCACTACCTAAACCCTATAGACTAAAGTATACTCGTTCGAATTTTCAATTAGATGCATCGACAATTATTTACAGTAAAAAACAAATTGAACATTGGTTCTCATTTAAAATTAAAATAAGTTTGAACAGCTATAACCACGGAACACGCATTAAATTGCATAAAAAAACACAATTTTTCAATACTATTTGGCAATATAAGTACCCTTCTAAAGGATAGAGGTACTCAAAATTTTCAAAAATTGAATTCGAATAATTTCATAATACAAGCCAATAGGTAAAATTGCGGCGAGAGTACTCGATGAAACACCCTGTAGGTATATATGCAATGTTAATAGGTAGGTACGCGTATAGTCGCATAAGTAATTATAATATCAATCTAACCGTTTAAGGTACGCATGACAAATGAAATTATTCTTGTTTTACAATATATGAATCCTACGTGAACCTAAACCACAAAAAATCTGTTTTCGCGCGGAAACACGTCCATTTTCAAAGAGTATTATGTAGGTATGTAATATAACATTGTAATTGCAAACGACCACACGGTCAAACCTTATATGATCCCGCGAGAATCGAACAAATTATTAATGCAATTTGGGAGGATGGGAGGGGAGCGAATAGAGACGAACGGCGCGTATTTATAATAAATATACTATCGGTGCGTGAGTATATGGCTATATAGGAACCTACATATATAGGTAGTAAATATAATATACATACATATATGTGTTATCGTACGCTCGTCCGACCGACAGCCTCTGAAAAAGGAATTATATTAACTGCAGCGTGATTGACCGCGTCAGATATGGTCATAAACTCGCGCGTATTGTGTTAGCATCGCCAACGATGACGGACGGACGACCTTTACCGTCGTCGAGCCCGCAGCCGCTGCAGCGTGAACCCTACCACGGCGGATTTTCACTTTCGACCGCGGAACGGTGTCGGGGCGGCCATACGGCGTACCTATAAATTGACGCGAGTCCGCCGTCGCAGTGTACTCACATTCGACGCTCTCCGATCGCATCACGCAAACGCCGTTCCGTTTGCACTTTTATTTATTTATTTATCGCTTTTCGTAAGGTAAAAATTTGTTCGAAAAAAAAATAGTTTTCTCTCGGTGAGAAGTCAAAAATAAGTTTTTTATTTTAATTTTTTTATTTCTAGAAAATAAAACCGTAATCATGTGCGACGAAGACGTAGCAGCTCTAGTGGTGGACAACGGTTCCGGTATGTGCAAGGCGGGATTCGCTGGCGACGACGCACCCAGAGCCGTTTTTCCGTCCATCGTAGGACGTCCACGTTATCAGGTAAATTGGATTAATGGCAGATAATATTTATACTAACGATCATGATTGTTATGTATTATCCACGGCATATATTTTTTTATTATATAATACATACGTGGCGTGTGTCTGCAGGGCATCATGGTGGGCATGGGACAAAAAGACAGTTACGTCGGTGACGAAGCACAGTCCAAGAGGGGCGTGCTGACTGTCAAGTATCCCATCGAACACGGTATCGTCACCAACTGGGATGACATGGAAAAAGTGTGGCACCATACATTCTACAACGAGCTACGTGTAGCCCCCGAAGAGCACCCTGTGTTGCTGACCGAAGCACCGCTCAACCCAAAAGCCAACAGAGAGAAAATGACACAGGTAAGGACTTTGCCCACCAGAAAAATTGTACCGATGCGGTTATTGAGCACCTATTACCCACTAGGCATTCGCAATTAAGTGGTTGACCGATTTAATGGTCAAAAACTCTGCAATTGAAATTAATTACTAATTTATGTGTACCAAATCCAGGGAGGGTGAGTGTCCAAAATGTACCTGGGTACAATATTTTTGATGTAATTATAATATGTTGGTTAAAATGTTAAATAATAAAAATACATTACAATTTACCCATACAGTATTGAGTCTCTATAATGTCGGTCCTATGATAAATAAAGTTTTCTACACGTTGCACATATGGCAGACAGGGATAAAACATTAAAAATCTAAATGCTAATATTCCAGGAGTAAGCGAAACTATAACATAGGTATACGATAACAGGGGGAAGGAATTAAGTAAGGTACAGGATTGTTGCAACTTGCAAGGATCAGACACGTTGTGCTGAAAGAAATAGTTACTATATTATTATATTTACCTGATATCATATTAATACAATGTAACTATTTGTTTTCAGATCATGTTCGAAACGTTCAACACCCCGGCAATGTACGTTGCCATCCAAGCCGTACTCTCTTTGTACGCTTCCGGTCGGACGACTGGTATAGTTTTGGACTCTGGTGATGGTGTGTCCCACACCGTGCCCATCTACGAAGGTTACGCCTTACCACACGCCATACTCCGTCTGGACTTGGCAGGTCGCGATCTTACAGACTACCTGATGAAGATCCTCACCGAAAGAGGTTATAGCTTCACGACTACCGCTGAACGAGAAATTGTCCGCGACATTAAGGAAAAGCTATGTTACGTGGCACTTGACTTCGAGCAGGAAATGCAGACAGCTGCGTCGTCCAGCGCTCTAGAGAAATCCTACGAACTCCCGGACGGACAGGTGAGTCATGACTCATGAGTGTAATAACTAGTGACACACGAGTCTTGCAACCCCGACTCGGGAGCCGTTGATTCTTATAGCTACTTGATATTAATTATTGATTTATAATCGTCCCTCGTGCTCTAGGTGATCACCATCGGAAACGAACGTTTCCGCTGCCCGGAATCGTTATTCCAACCGTCATTCTTGGGAATGGAATCAGCCGGTATTCACGAGACCACGTACAACTCAATCATGAAATGTGACGTGGACATCAGGAAGGACCTTTACGCCAACACGGTACTGTCCGGAGGCACAACCATGTACCCGGGAATCGCAGACCGGATGCAGAAGGAAATCACGTCACTCGCCCCGTCCACAATGAAAATCAAAACGATCGCACCGCCCGAACGCAAGTACTCCGTGTGGATTGGTGGCTCCATCTTGGCATCCCTATCCACTTTCCAACAGATGTGGATTTCGAAAACGGAATATGACGAGAGTGGCCCGTCTATTGTTCACAGGAAATGCTTCTAAGGTGCAGAACTACAGTTTTAGATGTTATACACACTCACACAATATATATACATTATGCATATATAATATCGATGTATACACATAAAACTATTTATATATTTTTATATATTTAATTTATTAAGTTATTTGGAAGTATAAACAGATTTAAAATTTATACATATATATATATACATGATTGTATAGGGCAATTATACCTAGATGCAATATAATATGATTTACATTTTATTGTACCTACCTACCTGCCCGCCTAAATATCAGTTACCTACATCACAACAATAATTAATTTATGTTTTTATTACCTTGAGCATCTATTAACTACAAATTACCCATTTTAAATGACATTTAACGAACTAAAAACCAGCATGTGTTGAAATAAAATACCTACGTTTTCTCAACAAAAATATATATATATATATATATGTCAAGACAAATACATATTTCGGGTACTTTACTAAACACAGAAACTATCAATTTAGTCCATATTCTTATCTTAATAAGAGCAAAATTGCATTCAATTCTTAATACTCAAAAATTAGAATCACTTAAATTATTTTTAAAACATTTAAAAATTCCAAAATACACAAAAAATAATTACCATACAAAATATTATAATGCTATTAGATAAAATAGTAAATGATACATATTGAAAGTATAACAGATTTAGATATTTCAATTGTTCGGCTCAGGAAACAAAAAAGTAAACAAAACTTGAAATGTAATTTATTTATCACCCAAATATTATAAATCTAAGGTTCAATAACAATGAATTAATAAATTGTAAATAATTATACATATAAACATTACAACTTTGGGTAATAATAGGAGAACATAATCATCATATTTAAAAAGGTTATATATTTTGGTTGATGAGCATTTTGCCACCAAAGAAAGAACTCAAAATTTAACAAAATCCAATGTCATAGTTAGTCAGAATACAATAAAATAGTATTTATGTCACTGTAAATTATTGTTCACTGAAAAACACAAGATAAAAAAATTATACTGAAGAAAATATTTACTTGATTCTACTTCAACAACAAATGTTAATTTAAAAACATTTAGTTTATTTTTCATTTTTAATATTTTTTATTGAATTTAAAATTATATCTACTGCATAAACAACTATAAATACCTATACAATATTCTATAGCAAGCTTATTAGTACATAAAATAAAAGTTATTAAAAACATTGACATGTTTAACAAATTAAAAGTACCAACATTTTTCTCATACTAATACATGTTTGAATATTTGGCACTATACTCGATTAAAAATGCATTGATGAAAAAGTTACATTTACTATCATGATTCATGACACAATATTTTTTTTTTATTTAGACGATTCTACAATCAATAAAATATGTAAAAACTAATTTCAAATAAACAATTATACTTTTAACTATACATGAAAAAATGTTTAAAATCAACTGTCATTAGAGTAATCTTCAATATCTATAACATTATCATGAAACACTAATAGGTACCCGTAACTCATCTATAGCGTGCCCTAGGACTATCACATACAAAGTAACAAATATGAAATCGAAACACTGTTTATTTGATCTGGCACGGAAGGGGGAGAGCAACAATTGTCTGTTAATGTAAAATTACAATATTGGAATCACTGTCCACAATGAACTAAGACAGTACTATCTTAGTTTGTGCACCGCAGAATAATACATATAATAATATATTATATCATCAGACATGCATGTGATTTAAAATATAGTAATACCAGGAACTGTGGGATTATTTTTAAAAATTGAGAAACAGTATGTCTGGGGTGGGCCCATCCTTGATGTGAACTGGGATTCGATTAATAGTTTGATTATCAAACCAAGTGCACCAAATGCTTAAAAAACAGCTAATTAATATAGCAATTCTTCAAGTAATAATTGGTATTAAGGTTTATCAGAAATCACATTAACTAACAGTAGTTACTAATAAGTAATATATTTTTATGAATTTATGAATTAGTTACAGCTTAACTTCCAAAAGATTTGGTTATTTTTAAGTGTGTTATCACCATTGATATGATAACAGCATAGTATATGCAGGTCTTAAATATATTATCTGCAAAAAAGCTCCCACTAAACACCGTCTAAAAGTTTGTAGACACAAATCAGTGTCAAAATTTCTTACACAGGTTTATGTTAACAAACTCCTAATATGACAGTACAGATACAGCTTATCTATTATACACAGGAAATGCTTCTAAAAAATATAGATATTAAATAATGATATGGTGACACACACATTAAAATCATGTAGTATATACAATACATTAATGACTAATAAATAGATAATTAATTAAATTTTTTTAACAGATTGAAAATCCTATTTTTTAGGATTTAGCAGGGTACTATATTTATCATTTGCAACACTTGAATATAAATTATAATTATTACAGTTTCAAAATAAAATACAATTCATAAAAGAATAAAAAGTAAAAAAAAGGTATAATATCCTAAATACTAGATAAATATCACAACAATTGTTAACCACTCTAGTTGTAAATCATATAAGATTGTTTTATACATTATGTAACAAAATATAATCAAATGGTTCAAGCGGAAGAGTCCAGATCTGTTATATTTGTCACAAAAATTACATGGAAGTAATAACTTACATGGTATCATACAATTGACTACAACCTGCAGAACGAAGTCCACGTATGTTATATTCTTTTGGTGCTTGAGACCCATCATTACACCATTGACTGTGACAAAATTTATATCTGTAAAGCAACAAGAATAATTTTTAAAGATAATAACTGCATGCTATAAGACAATATAAATTAAGCAAGTAAATTTAAAATTGATAGATATAATAATATAACTAAGATAATATTTTGCATTTAGTTAAATAAGTCCTTGATATATAATATAAGTAGATACTAACATTTCAAGTTTCTTTTTAATATGTAAATTGCTGCCAAATGCAGACACGGGTAATTTATCTGTGATTTCGATTGCTTTTATGTTCGATGGACTGGGCAATAAAGTTGTTAATTCTTCCTTAATATTGTCATTAGATTTCTGTGTATGATGTTTATTACGACCTTCCTTCAAATACTCTACTCGTTTTAATTCCCTCATTCGTTGCAAATCCCACCTGAAATAAAAATATCAAAATGTTACCTTTATAAAATATAAGACAAAAAAAACAATCAAGGTATCCCTAATTACATTACCTTTTTCGTTTTTGTTCACACTGTTCAAGTCTATAATGTCTGCTTTCAAAGATATCATCAGACATATTTTCAGTGCCTTCCATAGAATACCAACTAGAATATGTTTTAACCCTCCAACTTGGTATCTACAAAATCACATAGGCTTACGTAATTAAGACAATACTAAATATTACTAAATTATATATACATGTTATATGAAATGCTTACTTCTAAATTACTATTAGTTTTTTCGGATACTGGTTCATCTCTTATAGGATCGTAATTTCCAAGGCATGTGTAATATGCATCATCTGCTGTGATCAGAGACAATTCTTGCATTTTACCTATTTTAGCTGAATATAGTAAATAAATAAAAATTATGCACTATAAGAAAAATATTATTTAAAAAAAAAACAACCTGATTTAGCTCGTGTAGTCCTAGTTTTCTGCCGTTTGGCATGGTTGGATTCTAATGGATTTGGGTTTGGTTGTTTAGTAGCAGCTTGACGAAGCTTTCGCTTTTTAGGTTTATTGCCCTGTTGTTCTTGTTGATCTTGTAGTTCAGCCGAGCTCAAATCTCCCATGCCAGACGAGCATGTTGAAGAAACTGGTGTAAATGGTAAAACATCCAAATTTTCTTCTCTTTCAGCCATACGATGAGAAAATTCGGCCCTCTTTTTGAACTGTACAACAAACCGTTTTAAATATTAATGCAAGCTGTATACTTTAACTTAAATAATAATGATTTTAACTATTAAATCACTATAAATAACTTTCAAATGATCACTCACATATTCCAATTCCTTTGTCAACAGCATTATCTCTTGATCTTTCAGTTCGACAACTTTTGAGTACTCTTCTAACATCATGAGATGGCCGAACGACAGATCCTTGAGTTTACTCAGCTCATTGGTCGACGGCGGGTAGACTCGGTGGTTGATGGAGGCCACCGCCTGATCATTACCAGCGACCATCCTAGACGCGGCCATCACCATTTCGTTTTGGTCACCGAGCACCTGCTCGCAATGGTTCACGTATCCGCCGACGACGACACCGCCACCGCCGTTTACAACCCGACACTCTTTGGACATTGCCGATACACGACCGCCAATATCGCTGTTACATCTCCCCCCCCGCGCTTATCATCTAACAGACTTGTCTTACGTATCTAACAATGACCGTCAGCGCACCGGAGCGATTAAACGAGAATCGAGCCCTCACAAACGTTTGATCAAAAAAAATTCATCAAAAAACTGATCGGTGAGGTATAAGTGTCCAGATGAGTGGACACGGGAACGAAAGAAACGCGGAAACCAGTAAAACGTCGCGGCGCGAGCACAATGTAGTATTGTTTGTCCGTTCGTCGGACGTCGCGTTTGCGTTTCCACTTTCGGTAGGTAATAATAACACACGATTGATCTATGAACGCGGTTTGCAATTGCGGTAACACAATAATATTCAAAACACAAACAAATGCGTTATCAACGAGCAAGGACAGCAGTGCAAGAGTGAGCGGCCGACCAAACGAGCGAGACAGACATCTGACCGGCAGGTTAGCCAACGTGCCATTTGTCCTTTTTTCCATGGTCACTCGTTCTCCAGGGTATACCACAAGTCTGTCCGGTTGAAACCATACAGTCGGTGGCGCTTATTATTACGAACGAAATTGCATGTTCTCTTTTACTTATTGGACGAAACTACGAAAGGACGTATTCGATATCCAAATCGGGACAAATATACCAGTTATTACCTCTACATTTGTGTTATTTTGAGTTTTCATCATTTTCGATTGATGTGAATCCTGATCAAATTATTCCTCTTTTCGTATTTCAAAGTTTCAAATTCATCTTTTTCTTAATATTCTTATAGATTACAACTGCCGATTACAATTTAGCATTAAATGTAACATTATCTCATACCAATTGCATATGTATTAATAAAAAACTATCCACAACATCGTCACTTTTTTAAAGTACCACGACGATTTCATTGGCCCTATAAGGGAAGTAAGTTGTAAGTAATTTGTATTTCTAACCAAATGTTATAACTTCTTTTTGCTGATTGATGTATAAGCAAATTATTACTACCTGTAACTACCTATGCATAGTAATGCAATAATTGCATGTAAGTTACATACTGCTCATTTAATTATATTCTTTAATACCTTATAGGATTATTGAAATGTCTCAATATGAAAGAATACTACTAAATAGTATTTACAAATGTACGTAGGCTATAGGTACCTATCATAAGAAAATATTATATTATTGTGACTGGTAAAACTTAGTTAATATATCAATTTTTTGAGATTTTATATCAAATAAATTAAGTATTTATAATAAAAGGATCATTGTTTCTAAACATTTTCAACAACCTATTAAAAAAAATAATTATGTCATATTAATAAATGTATTTTGTCTAATCACCCTTTTTAAAATTCAATATTGTTTTATGTCTTATGGTTAATTGATTGGTTGTATTTATGCAAACACGTAAGACGTAACTGTTGTATATGTTTATAATAAATAAACCAATAGAATTCAATTAGATTTAAAGTATAAAAACAATATTTTGGTACTTACCAGGTAGTTCTTGAAATGTTAGTACATAGAGAACTGTATACCTACTTTGAATCTATCTTATATATTATATTTACATTAATCATATTGTAAATTTGTTTAAGGTACATTTCCACTAATAACAATGCCTAAGAAGAAAATAATTCATCATGATGAACCTGTATCCTCGAGGCCTCATAGAAATATGGTTAGTATTTATTTAGTAAATTATGTGACATTACTTTCAATTGGTTTTTTTATTACAGAAAGCCAAAGTAGTATTTGATCCATCTGATAATCACATACCAAAGAAGAGGGCTAAATATTCTTATAAAAATGAAAAGCCCATAGAAACTAGTACTGTAAAAAAAACTACTAATGATAGAACTCGTGATAGAAGAAGAAAACGACATACCACCAAGGCAAAAAAAAGTCTCTCGGTAAATCCGGTAACCGAGTCACTAGATGGTTCATCAACTGAAATCAATACTATCTCCTCAATAGTTTCACCACCAAATTCTCCAGTGAAAAGTGTTACTCCTGATGTAACTCCGGAAAAATCAAAAAATTGTTTTATTTGTTCAACAATTACTGGAAAGACAGAATTAATTGATTGCCCAATCTGTTTTGTTAGAGGTAATAATTGTAATAGATAATTTACTTTTTTTATTACAAATATTTTTTTTATAGCTCATAGACACTGTTTAATTGTTGATGAGCCCGTGTGGAAATTCAAATTAGATTTATGTCCTTGGTTCTGTAAACAATGCAGAAAAAAGAATTGTAGCAAATGTCTCAAAGATGATTCCCGATCGGTCAGTAAAAACAATAATATTTACTTATAACTAAAAACTTACTTATTATATTTCAATAGGAGATAGAGCGTCGCTGCATAACTTGTGAAGTTGGTTTACATTCCATTTGTTATGAATCATATGATATTAAGCCATTACATAAATTAGAAACTGATATGTATGTATGTATTCCTTGCATGACTTTGGCTACTCAAATAAACCCGGAAGAACAAGAAGAAGTAGTTGAAACAGTAGCAGCTAATATTGAAGGTAAGCCTAGACAATTCAAATAATAATATATATCATCTCTAATTATTAACAATAAATACATTTAATTAAATATCTATTTAGATGATGTTGAGTCACTCGCCTCGAGTATTGTGTCTGTATCATCTGAAGACTATGACACTGATTCAAAAAGTAATGGATCTTATAGTGGTTCGTCTGACTATGAAAGATATGATGCTAATCAAAATAATAGTATCCCAAATTCATTAAAATGGACAAAAGATCAGGTGTTCGAATATCTTGCAGACCTTATACCCCAAGAAATTATTGATCAAATATCTAAATATGTAAGATATTACTAATTAATTTATAAAAAATAATGGTTTCATACTATGTGCAATCTATAATTTATAACGAAAAATAACTAACATTGTACTAAGAAGTATTCTATAATTTTAGGATTTCGATGGACGTGCTATACAATTACTTAATCGGAATGATATATTGAATATGGATTTGAAACTTGGACATGCCTTGAAATTATACAAACAAATACGAATTTTACAAACGCAAAGTACATTCAGTCGTATATTTTGGGAATAATTATTATTACACCTAACATCCACATATCATTGAGTGATATAAAATTGTGTTCGTATTTCATTTTTTTATAAAATATAATTATAGTGAGTTTGAAACCCGTCCTTTAAAAATGTTTGAAACATTAACACAATTAGATATAATACAAAATACTCCTTGTTTACCAATAGTGAAATTTACTTGTTTAGCTAATTTTATATAAAAATACATAATCGTCAATATTTTAGTTTTGCTTCATTATATATGAAGACGCCCAATTAAATGTTTTTACTGTGTAATATAATTATTATATAATGAAAACCCCTTAAAATACATATTATTGTGCTTGTGGCCTAACTATATACATAATAATTTAATCATGTTTCATTAACTTTAAAAACTTGTAATAATTCACCGTAGGTACAACAATGATATACTACTATATTTTAAATAATTATAAGACCTAAAACCTACTTGTACTTATAATAAATAGTATTATCTATAATAATAATCCTTCGTATAATATCTAGGGTATTTGTTTGTATATTTTATAGATGTATAATGTGTACATAGCTATATATTTATGTATATATAAACATTTTTAAAATTGACTCATTGTAATTGTGTTATATTATTGACTTGTGCATTAACTCATTGTCAGTGCTTGAATTGAAGAGGGGGAGAGACCCTTTTATTTTAAAAAAAATGTATACGTAGTCCTTCTAATTATATCCTAATCAATAAGACATTTTACACCTTTGCATCCACCATCTACTTTTTTTCCCAATCAAGCACTGAACATTGTTGATAAGCTGTATTGCCTGTTATCTGTATTACGTTTTTTATACGTTTGTGGTCTGTATCTTATACTTATTATTATATTATTGTTTTTTTTTATGGAAAAAAAATATGTCACAGAGAAATAACCTAAGCGTTTTATTTTCTTCAGGACTGCCTCTTATTTTTACAACCCAACCTTATAACTGCTCATTGTTGGTCTCCTATTTTTCTCACAAAGAATGTTTTCTGGCACCACCAGTGACATACCAACTCCATGGTTGGATATTTCATCAATAATTTTATTATCTCAATGACACTGGATTCATAAAATCCTTTATATCTATGTTATTCATCGATAAGCCAGAAGTTATTTAACTGTAAAATATGAATAGTTCACTCACAAAAAGGCTAGGAAATGGTGTATTCTAAAAATCTACTGACTTAGTCCATATTAATACCATATCCTAAAAACAAAGGAATGCAGACTCTCAGTACAAAATGAAAAAGTGTATTATCAATGTTTAGAATTTAGTCAGGCTGTTATGTTACATAGTTCACTATTTTTGCTCCTAAAAGTTTAATTTTTTTATTTTAATTTGATGAACATAAGAGTGAATGGTTAAAATATTAATATGTTTATTACTTAATTATTTATTTTGTGTTAAAAAGTATAATCAAACAAAATATACACTGGTAATAAAATACAATTTTAACCTATTTATGAATTAATTTTGATAAATAGGTACATTAACTATATTATTGTTAAAAATTTGATAAAAAATTTTTGTTTGATTACTTATCGATATTTTATTACTTTTACTTTTTAACAGTTAATGTTACTCTAATAAAAAGATTTGAAATAAATTTTCTTCTAAGTAAAACTGCAAATAATAGGTACTGAACTAATTAAGTGGAATCCTTGTTGTGAGAAATTAAAAAAAAAACGTCATATAATTGCTAAATGCATGAACACTGGGTTTTCTGAATTCCATAGGTTGCTTACCTATTGATAGGTAATATTACATATTGTTTCGTTTCCAAAATTGAAATATGAAAAATGAATACTTAAGAGTCCTAATTCTGGACATACTAATTATGCAGGCTAATTGCTATACAGCGTCTGTATTATAATAATTTATACATATTGACTAAATGTTTATTAGTTTATTGACTAGGTATCATAAATAATATTTATAATGAAGTTAAAAACAACAACACCTACCATCTTAACATGTATAATTCTTGAGTGTATCTGTTAGTGATGTTATAAAAAACGTTAATAGGTAACTGTTAAATGGATTGACCATTTTCACGAAAAGTTATATTAATGTATTTCTAATGAGACTTGGAGTGTGCCTATAAATAATTTTATGTTAGCTCACACTTACATATAGTTTACAGCACACAATATTTGTTTTTTTTATTTATAGGGTTACCTCTCATATTATGTATAGTATGTATTATGATTATTTTAGCTTCAAAAACCAATATATAATTTGCTACAATACAAGTGTAAGCAATTTAATTTTGTATTCAGCAGTCATTTGTTGTACTGCCTAGAATAGTAGAATCTACAGACTCTATGTACACCCTTCAAAAAAGTGATCTGACAATTCACCAGGGCCTGATTAACCAATAGGCTAAGTAGGCTACAGCCTAGGGCGCCAATCGGTCAACGTTAAATTGGGGGCGCCACAAAAATTTTTTTTACGAATGTAGAATTTTTGCATAATATATACTTAAAAAAAAAAAAAATTGTTACGTGTGCGTACGTACATTTTATTGGTATATTTTTTAATACAATTTACAAACAGCTTATTAATATGAGTGAAAATAAAAAACCAAGTGATGGTTCCTAGTATCGAAAAAGGGCTCGAGAGCGTAGTGAGCGGGAAGATGCAATTTTGAAAAAAATTCCTTCACTTGATTCGTTTTTTAGTAAATCTAAAACAACGTCTAATAATGACTTCTGAATCATTATTAGATGCCTCAGTGAAGAGTGTTCTGGTTGAAAGTAGCAAAAGCAAAAGTGAAATTCAAGTGGCGATGCCGTCTACTAGTGCTAATAGAGTCTTTCGCAGGGTTAAAATCAATGAAAAAACTTTTTAAAATGAATAATATTTAGTTCAATCATAAATTAAAAATGTTTAAATGCTTTTGTATATAATTTTATTAAATATAAAACATGTTTTATTTTAAACAAAAAAAGTCTGTTGTTTTTACGTTTTCTTAATCCTCGTTTTACCCTCCAGCCACTCCGATCATTCATAGGGGCGCCAAATCAACCCTAGCCTACTGGTGACCAACTCCTTAATCAGGCCCTGCAATTCACGAGTGGTCTTCGTATGTCGCCGGCACAGCCGTATTGAAAATGCATGTCTAACCGCGCAAATTCATAAACGACATTATTACTTGCCCCCCTCAACCTCAAGTTCGACTTGCGTACATAAAGTGTGTGGAAAAGTTATTTTTGTATGAATATTATAATTGTTGTCTTTATTATAACGGGCATTGAGCATAATGATATGCCTTGCGGTTAAAAATAAATTAAATATAGGTAGGCTATAATATTATTTGATCTTTGATCGTAAAAAAAAATACATTTTTTTAGAATTAAACAATATAATACGTTTATATTACGAGGCGACGTTTTACAAAAAAATTCGCAAATACTTAACAGTATGTAGGTATAATATAATAATATATATATAACAATATTATATAACATACATTACATATCATGAATGTATGGTTTTATTTTTAAAGATAAATATTTAATTTACAAAATATATAGTAAATACAAATACTCATTTTAACGACAATACACTAATTTCACTAGTTTTAACAATAAAACGAAAAAAAAATACTTAAGATACAAATTTCCAGTCTTGTATTTAAAACAGCTTATTAAAAAAAAAAAAAAAATAATATTAAAATAAAATAAAATAATAATATAATTGTGTGGATTTGAGGGGGCTGCACGTTTGGATAAAATAAAAAGCGGCACATACATTCAAAGTCAAACGTGTCGTACGGGAGGAACTACATAAACCGTTTTGCAGTAAGTACATAGTTTTCGCAAACACGATACGTTTCAATAGAAAATATTCGGTATTTAAATCGAGCTTTTCGTGTAAGTATTTTTCTAAAACAAAAAAATAATAGTAATGCTCTAAAATAATGCTCTCCTCGGCGGTTTAAATCGTAAAAATAATGGAAACCGAATGGCTTGGAACAATATAGAATATCACAAATTTGTCCAACTACAATAACAACGACGACAACAACAACGCACAGCGTGTTACACATATACAGCCCCTTAAGTAAAACATTGGTAAAAACGAATAAATTACATTTCAATTTTATACCAGACTACATCAATATAACGGTTTTTCGTCTTCACTCGACATGTCCGTGTTGCTCAGCAAGTTCGCTTTGTCTTCTTTTTTCGACTTGCCCAGCGACATTAGACCTCCCATCTTAGGCGATCGGAAATCCGGTTCAAAACATGGCTAAAAACAAAAATAATGGTTTTCAAAATATTTTTATGCAAGTGATTTTTAAATTTCAATAACTAGGGCCCACTTTTTTATTCAAACAATATTAAAGAATAGAATATATATCTAAATATTTATGCATACCACATTTCGAAAATATGAACTTAAGTTAGTAAATACATTATCCACAAAAATACTAGGAAAATGTAATAGAGTAAAGTGGTTTAAGTTATAACTTATAAATATAATTGTAAGGTGCCATTTTAAATTACTTTTATAAATTATCTTAGGTTCAAATATAGCTTTTTAGTTCGTTGACCATTATATGACGTACAATGCAAAATGAGCAAATATTAGCAAAATTTCAATTATTTTGATTAATGTTTGTAAAATATGCAACTGTTGCGTAATTTCTTTAAAATAATATATAACTTATGTTAATTTTGACTCAAATTCTTAAAAACAAGTAATGGAAAAAAATCAACCATATTTTAATCCGTTCGCATTATGAAACGTCGACGTCATATTATTATTTAATCCGAATCATCAAAAATCGAAATCGTAGAAGAATAATACGCATTTGCATAAAAATCGGAGCCATAAATCATGACTAAATATTGTAACGGATCGTCTTGAGTTTTCGCAACACCGTCTGCGAGGCGTTTGGCTTACCGTTTCGCAAATGTTCATGTTGCAACAGTTTTCGATGGTTATTTCGCACTGTTGATTCTCCTGTTGCGGCGGCCGGCACGTCAACGGCGTGATACTCTTGTTCACGACGATGCGCTTCTTGATCCTGGGACGGCGGCCCAGCAACCGCACTTTTCTCGACAGCACTATGGTTATGGTGCCAAGGCTGGCGACGAACACCGTGAGTATGGCGATCACGGCCATCATGCTCTTGCTGAGCTTGCACGGCGACATGTCCGAATGGTTGAGCATGGCCATTTCCGAATAATCGAACTGCCGGCTGTATTCGTCGCACCTGGAGAAAGAAAACCAATTGCAGTCGTCATTAACGGGTGCCGAAAACCGTTATGGGCGAGTGGGTATATAGGTGTAATATAATTGCTTGTAGAGGGATAAATCCAAGGACTGTGTTTTTTAAATCGTTCGTATTATCATCTGCACGAGTTATTTATTGGTACGTAGCAAGTATAAACACCGTCCATAAGTGGGAGACTTCATCATTCTTGTTTAAATAAAAATGATCGAACGTACGTTGTTTAAATTTTTAAATAAAACAACATGAATATATAAGTTTGTTGAAAAGTTATAGGATACGGTGGTCTAAACCATAAGTTCATAACTGATAGATGATGACATATAGTTATCGAAAATACTATAGAGCTGATCAATTATAAAATACGTTTTATGTTATCCATAGGTACTAGATAAATATTTAAGTATACCAAATACGAAAATCTTTTAAACTTTATTTAAAGTTTGGGTTTTTTTAATGTTTTATATGACAACGTACGATAATTATATTTTGTTATTGATGGTATTTAATGGTAAATAATATTTGACAAACAATCTAAACATATTCGGAGAAAATAATTTTTGTACACAAATGTAAGCATTTGAAAGTATTAGAAATAGTTTTTGAATGTACCTATTTATATTTGTATTTAAATACTTGTTAGAAAAGGTATTTTAATGCTTTTTAATTGAAGTATTAATTAAATACCGGTTTAAATTGAATAAAACACTAAGCCAGCAGTGCAACCGTAATAATGCTCAACATATAATTGACAGTTAATTATTATTCAAGAATTCAGACTGAATACTATATATTATGTTATCATTGAATATAAAAACTTTTTTATAATCTATGATATTATCTAAGCGCATGTAATATAATATATAAATATAATTATACACGGGTTCGTCGAAGCTATATTATAATATACTATTATATTGATCTACTATATTAATATTGAATACTATATTAAATATAGTATTCAATATTTCAATGTATACTGTTTAAATAATTGAATATTAGCACATAATAAAACAACTTAATTTCATCGTCGGGCCGCGAGAAGCACTGCAATCACAATGCTCATAAAATATAAGTTCAACAGGTTACAAATTTAGAATATATAACAATACCTGTGTACCCACATAGATTACGCAAGTGCTTTTTAAACCAGGTTCAATAAGTTATTTGCATAAACGCCGACGGATCCGTGGTACACAAGTAACAACCAATATACAGGTATTATAGTGTTTAGAACTTAACATTATTATACACCTGCTTAAAGATACATTCAGTAGTTTATAGACTTTAGTTCACTTATGCGCAGTGTTGTCGTGTTGACGTCGATTTTAAAAATGATTAAAAACATTGTACACATACCGGATTTATAATGTAAATATATAGGTGGTCGGCATTACCTACATCGTACATGTTTGAATGTTTCCTAACGATTTGTAATAGAAACGACTCGCGGCGGCGAAGCTATTGCAAGACGGACGGATAAATTTGCAAGGTGATTTAGTACCTATGAGTCCTATACATAATATACAAATATTCCTTTCGTTATTTTATTATTACATTTAGCGTAATGATATAGACAATATTATATTCACTGTTTATAGCTTCAAAATTTAAACGCGATCGGTACAAATCGATCAGGTGGGAGAACTTCCGGGCAAGTCCTGCGACGCAATATAGAATATAATGTTCTGTAGCTGGTGCCTAACAAATACCTAATCGAAATTATATGATCTTCAAATATTTATTATAATCGTATCATTATAAAATGACTACGTTTCCAGTGCGTGTGAAGCTCGTGATGTTTAACATTTTACTAATTTTAGGGCTAATGTGTTGTTTTTTATGAAAACAGTGCAATGCATAACAAATATTTACGTTTACAGACTAATCAGCGAGTAGCCGACACCCTTGACATATGTTTAATAGACATAATGTACATAGCGACAATTTGCGAGTAAACGGTCGTATATTCAGTGACGTGTCCTGCAGGGGGGAGGTTAGGGATTGCGTCCTCCCCCCCCCCCACCACCATTGTCTCATAAATCCCCTTATTTGTGTTTTCGGTACTACCACCACGATTCATTTAAATGTATTATTAGTTTTGACATCCCTCCATTGAAAATTCTTGGGCACGCCAATGCGTTTATTATACGAGACTATACGATTTGATGAATCATTCAAGGCGGTCGCCGTCGATACAGAATATCGTGAAGGTGTAGCATAATGATATATGCTAATGCTATAGCTCTAAATATTTTATAATTGTATGATATATGTAACACGTACATGCGGTATCAGGCCGACTGAAATATAACGAATCGAGGCCCTCGACGACGGCAGGTGTCCTAAAGCAGAATTAGTTTTTACCTCGGTTTTTTACAGTGTACTTCCCGTGTACGTATATATTTTGCGATAATTGTACGTTTTTCTTCGAGATATTGCACAGAAGTGGTATAGAATCGTAACTATTGCACCATCTATGTACATTCGATCCGTCGTGTATATAATAAACACATAAGCATTCAACATAATAGTGATTATATAGGCACACAGATAATGTACGGTTATCAACACAGTCCAACCAGACACTATATACCACCCTATATATGACCTTATACGAATCCGGACTCGCGGACATTATTCGATGAAGTTATTAATATATGTATATGCTCATGTTTTCAGACAAAACGAGCATAATTAATAATTAATAATACACATGAACAGTGATTTTGTAATATTATATAACTATGCTACAATATATACTATAATTAGATCACGCGTCGCGTATCTAATATTTTAACGTGAGCCATGAGCGTCATTCCGGTAGAATGTTCGTGATTGACAGTAAAAACATTTTTTTCAGTACATTTGAAAGTAGTAAATCAAATGATTTACACACGAAATGTATTTTAAAGAGCCTTTATTTTTAATCCCATACAACCGGAAGCAGAATACTTTTCTAAGTACACTGAATAAATAGTTTTTACACTGCTCCGTATGAATATATCCATTACGAAAAATCGAAAATCCTAAGAAAAAAATCACAACCATAAAAATTAGATTTTTTTTCAAAATCTCAATTGAAAGACTTCTTAAGTTGGTATGTATAAGAGCATTTTTTTTCCGAAAGTCCCACAACTGACCGAGACGACGGTAAACCACACAATAATGGCAAAAACAAAATAATATGTATAATATATAGGTGTATACATCCTAACTTATATTATGTACCTACATCACACCGTACACCTGTGGATAATGTGACAACTCCACCGCGATGGTGCCACGAGTACTCGACCTCTGTATCTGAATTCCAACCACTAACTAATCATAATCATTAATTATAATCACCTGCAGACGGACGACTGTTGCTGTTTGGACATGGCGTGCTGACAGTACACCGTGCACACCTCGTTCAGCCAGGACGCCTTGTACTCGCACGCGTCACCTGCGTACCCGACCGGGCACTCGCACCGGGGATTGCCGGCGCCGTCCATCGTGCAATCGCCGCCGTTCTGGCACCGGCCGGCGCACAGCTGCTTGTCGCACCGGTCACCGTAGCTGGTCTCCGAGCACTGGCACGTCGGCTGTCCCGAGTCCGACAGCGTGCACGTCCCGTACGCGCAGTAACCGTCGCACACGCCCGTCTGGCAGTATTCGCCCTCGAATCCAGGGGCGCACGTGCACGTCCCGTTGGCGTGCAACACGCCCTTGTTCTTGCAAATGTTCCTCAACACCTCGTACGGGATCAGTTCCGGGGTAGGTTCCTTCGTCGTCGCCACCTCGATGTCCTGCGTGAACCGACGACGTTATTAATATTAAAATTATTATTATTGCGTGTTTGGGGGCTGGCGAAATGTACGTATTATTGTGCTGTTATTGCACCGCTATATTATATGATTACGCTTGTAGTTGAGAATACTAACTGAGCCTAGCGAAGAGTATTTTTTTTTAAATTTTATTTTAAAACGAGTATTATGAATTTGAAAAAATATATAAGTACTCATAATTTATTTTATAACAGAAACATGAAAAAAAACTCAACGCTTGGATTTTCCTCTACAAATTCAATAATATGCTAAATTTACTCGAATATTAACAATAAAAAAACTGCGTAGTAAGAATCATGTACGTACATTTGCCATGGTATCGTATGTAAGACACAAACAACAAATTCGGGTGTAAACCATATTATATAACACATAGTACGTGGGATGAAACTACTACAGTAACGAGGGGCAGGGACGGAAAAGCGACACAGCTGATTATATATTATTTAGTTATATATATATATATCACCGGCGCTTAGTTAACGTCAGACTACCGAGAATTCTTTTAGTTTCTTATTCGGACTATTGATCTTATTTGTGTAGGTACCCAAAATAAACTTTAAAAAAAATACATACAGACTGTTAACTACATGAAGTACCTATAAAACCGCATACGTTTCTTCACTTGACTTAATATTATGCTTTGAAAAAGCACATTTAAAAAATATTAATAATAAAACTGGGTTATTCATTCGTTATATAAATTAAAATAAATTATTATGACACTTAAAATATTTTTAAAAAAACATTGAAATTATTTTAATTTCACATTTATGTAGTTTTATTTACATTAATTATTAAATTATTTTTATTATTATTAAAATATTAAAATTAATGAATATTAAATAGGTATATATATATTGTATAAAGTATATAGTGATAACTAATGATGTAAAAGTGTGGCAGTTGCAGTAGCTCATATACCTACAATTTTTTATTTTATCAAAAATGGAAATTACGATGCAAAATTATGCGGTTAGATGCAATGATGATGGTGGCAATCTTAAAAGTTAAAAATATAGATACGGATGTTCTGTTTCGATAGACCATAGTTTGGTTATTTAATAAGAGTTTTGTATTGAACGTGTACAATTGTACATACTACAATATGAGATGTTAATAAAAATTATTTAAAACGTTTTTAATTTCATTAAAATAAATAGGTAGTAGATACCTATCTCAAATTAATTATTATTAAGTGTCATATTTGTGAAAACAAACCTTGAAAACTTATAAACATAAAAATACCGAGTTAAGGAAAAGAAATTCTGAAAAACTTGGCTAACGCAATCACAGTTGTGGTAGAGCAATAGAGGTACGTTAATAAATAATTATTTACTATTTTCAATCCCGATCAAAAAATGAGTGTAAATACTGGGTAAAAAACAAAACATCGAAAAAAATTCATTTAAAAACTAAACAATATGTAATAGAAGACAACTGACGATGACTGATGTAGACTATAATATAATATATGAAACTCCTATGTTTTTGTTCTAACGTACAGAAGGTGTCACTCTGTTGATAGATTTAATCGTACGCGATCGTGCATATTATAACAGTTGTATAGAATTATGGTAAATAAGTATTTGTATTATGAAGGATGGCAAAACTTTATACATCATTTTTTCATAATAAACGAGGAGCTTATTGCTCCGCAAAGAATACACCTTTAAATACGTCATACCCGCGACCCGTGCGTTGCATTCAACTTCATAAAATATAAGCATTTAATACCAGATAATCGAATTACATATGGAAATCAGTAAAAAGCTACACATTTACTTCTGCTGGGGTTCAACGCGTTCGACAAGCTATCTATGAGGGGACGGGGGTCGCTGGAAAAACAGCGCGAAACGTACTTTTGACCTGTGCATCGCGCAATACGTGCTGTTGACCATGGTAGTGTTGCCGGTGGGCGTTATCAGTCCCATGGGCGTGTTGATCATCTCGTACTTGGCGACCAGAGACGGCTGCACGCCACCCTGGAACGAGTCCTTGGGCATGGTCCACACGGCGTTGTTGATCCAGTCGCTCCAGTAGATGTCCCGGTCGTCCACGGCTATGGAGAACGGCTGGTGGTGAGTGCCGTGGATGAGCGTTCTCCGGGAACTGCCGTCCGGGTTGCTGCTTTCGATGCTGTAGTACAGACCCTCGTGCTCGTCGCTCCAGTAGATCAAGTTACGTTCCACGTCGACCGCGATGCCCAGCGGCTGGAATAGGCTCTCGTGCACCACGATTTGACGGTCCGAGCCGTTCAGGCGCGACCGTTCGATGGTCGCGTTTAGATGGTTACAGTTCGTCCAGTACAAATACCTGAAACACGAAAACGTATTACTTTCCGATTTTCATTTTTGAAACGGTTTTGTGGGATTCCAAATTTTTTTTGTAAAGCGGGAGGGGTCAATAAAATTAAAAGCTCCACCGTCCAATTCAAATTTAGCTCAGTTGCTTAGTTTCGATTCTGATTTTATAAGCCCGTTTCAAGTTATCCACAAAGGTAAACATAGGTTATCATTTGTAATTTTCTTAGGGCAAAACAATGATTTCGAAATTATTGCCGACCAAAATAATAAGCACTAATCTGTTAGAGTATACTAATTCAATGTATATATCGAAAGGATGGGAAACTATTCTATATAGTTGTACAGTTAAATTGTGTATATTTTTATCAGAATAGGGACACTTTAAACTTGTCGAAATTATTAGTATTACTGTCATTATTAGCATTACTGTCTGTACACATCATAACTGTCAAAAGTTGAATATTATATGATGTTAAGTGTTCAGATTTTTAAAATTGTGACATTCATATTATTTGATGAAATAAATATCATTAAATAATATTTATTTTATCATGTTCAATAACATTGAGTACTATTGACTATTCCGTCAAAAAGTTTATAAATAATCAGGATTCGGGATCAATACTATATCCACTTAAATCATTGTTTTCTATTTTGTACTAAAATATTTAACTTTGTCAACTATGATTTCCTTCTTTAAATACAAAATAAAACACTTCAACAAAAAGAAAAGCCTCAACATTTCAGTATCGTAAATTTGTTATCTTATATAGTTCATAATATGTTTATGTATATTATACAAACCATCCGCTAAATACGTCGTCACTGGCCAGCGTGAAGGTTATCAAAATAAAGTGATCAATACTACTCATTAACATTATTGTGACCTATCTGTATTTTCATTGAATCTATTACTATTAATGTATACCATTAGTTTAAATTATATTTCAGTTAAGCCTACACAAATTATATTTTAAATCATAATTTATAAACTTTGTTTGAATTAATAAAATATCATCAATGTAAAATGGAAATAATATTTATGTTGAATTGTACAATATAAGTTGGGTTATCATAAAGATATACTAAAAGCTGTGATATTGAATATGATAGATCATAATATTATGTACCTATATAATTTGAGACTTGAGTGAATAATATTAATGGAATTTTAGATCATTTATTAACAAATGACCTTCAGTGTACATACGCATTTAGTAAAGTGTTCAGAATTAGTTTCTAATGAAACTGTACCTAACCTAAAATTCGTCCAAGACACATTTATTCAAAAAATATACATATTTTATGTACCTATACAAAAAACCATAATAAGATCGAATATACCAATAAATATTATATAGCTCCGGAGCAAATGATAGAAAATCAGTAACTCACCCTCGACACGTGTCAATGGCGATACCCTGGGGTATTGCATCCTTTAACCTGAACAGAACGTGTCCTGTGAGAGGAACCTTAGTCGTATTTTCTGGTACGCGAACGTAATTAATGGTCAGCCCGTTGCCGGTGGTCCAGTACAACGTGGAAGTACGGTCGTCGAACACCATGCCCAGTACGGAAACGTTTTGTTCTGTTGGGACAAAAATCAGACCATTAATACATTATTATTCGACGAAAGTAAACATTTCGGTAACCGCGACGGCCAGAGTCGGCGATAATGTGTACATACTGGCAACGATGGGTTCGATGATGGTGTAGGCCGCATCACCGGTAGTCTTTAACCGGAATATACTTCCGACTTTCTGATTGGCGTCGCTGACGTATACGTCTTTTTTAATAGGATCGTACGCAATGGCACCCATGCCTTTTAACTTATCGGCCGCCGTATTCTCCACGACATTTTTTGTAAGGAACTGAATCTGAGCCGGAGTTACGATGCCTAAATCTACAACAAACCGATACATACAATTAATTACACGGCTAAAGTAACAGTACATATTCTGTAATACTAATGTTTAATTCAGATTACTTATTAATATTATTATAGGTGCATATTTTTGATTTGCCGTATAAATAATAAGAGTACGATGTATAGACAAATATTATGCGCTTATGCATGTAATATATATACAGGTATATTAATGTACGCACTATAGCTTTCACTAGAATGAAAAATATACTCTTTTTCACTATTACGTAATTCTGTTTCTTCTTTTTTTCTAATAAACTAAACGATACATGCACATAGTTTGGTTGGACCAATCTATTCTTATTTCGCATTGCTCTTTAAGTGTGAATTAAAAAATGTAAAAAATATAAGTAAATAATAAGACCCATATCAATGAAAGTGTGCGTATTAAGTACATAATATAACAACGTCATATACTGGGCAATAATTAATTAATGTATGCAATAATTAAAACTTAAAAGAAACAAATATATACGTTTGACTTCCGGTCAGCTTTAAATAAAAACCTTTTCGAATTCAAATTAGCTAAAAAATTATCTCTTCAAGGATTATAGAAATACAATGTAATCTTATACGAGTTTGAACTAATTTTTATTCAAATTTTACTTTGAATAATAGTTGTTATCGAGGTAGTTATTTAATTAGTTAATGGATTAATTTATATAGGTACCTATATAATTATCTGTATAAATTTATTGATATGAATATCTAATGGTAAATAAGTAGGTTCCAGGTACCTTCAATATTTTAAAAGAAAAGCTCTCATCCCTTTTGTACTTGCGCGGATAATAAACATAAACGTACATAAAATATAGATTATAATATACTTACATTTTCCCTATAGATTCTATGTCAACATTGACCTCATTTTTAATTACAAGGTTATCGACATTAAACAAGGTGAAAAAAACCGATATACAATAATTAAAATGACAAGTTCGAAGATATAACTCCGGTTTTCAAACTGTTTGGTTCGGGAATTAATTATATTTTATACATCATCAATATATCTATAATCAGACGTGGAGGAGATAAATTTACCCAAGGGCAAGCTATCCATACTATTAGTCTCAAAGCTTATTTCCTGGAATGTGAACTGAAAGTACCAGAAATTACTATTTTCAATTGTTGCGAACTGAAGATAATATAATTTTTCATCTTATACTTATCTATCAATTTATTTTAATACCTGCAGATTTTTCACCTTGAACTTGTTCACTTATTTCCTCTATTTTTTAAATAATCGTATACAAATTTAAAATTAAAACAATAGAACCAATAAGACACAAATGGTGTAGTACAAAAGAAATTGTTTTAGACTTCACTAAAGTAAATTCCCTGAAATCGATTATATTATATCTTGATTATAATATGGTTATTGGTAATGAATGTTGTATTATTTTATATATTATATAGAAGCCTATACGACATTTAATATACACAGAGCATTTGTTATTCAGATAAACAATTTTAAAAATATCAATACAATCTCTGAGTCGTTGGAGTGAATAAAGATCGTAATCTCAATATCATAATATCAGTGTATATTATCGTGTTTATGCAATTATTTAAGATTTTCATTACAATTTGGACAAGTATAATGAATGAAAAATGTCTGATCATATCTTAATGTGTGATTATAATTTATCACCAATTTATGATTAAATAATTAAATACAATTATTTTGTAATTATTTAATAGTGCTATACACACACGAATACTATTTATTATTAAGTAATTTTATACGCAGTAAATACACTGAATTCAAAATTGCATATTAAAATTGATATGTACCTACAGTCTACATGGCTACCACTTACCAGTATCTATGTTTTATTTAGCTCATACAACTTTGATATTATAATTTGCTAAGAACTGATATAAGTACATATTATTTAAATCAATTACAATAAAAAGTATACGAATCAGTGGAAGGCTACGCTTGCTTATTTACCTACGCTTTTATAGATATAATAATGTGGGTAAGCTAAATGATAACATAATTATATGGAAAGTAATTGGATATTCTTTAACAAGTCTTCAAGAATAAAAATTAAAAGTTTACATCCTCGTTCAATACAAATATTATAATTATACATTAAGTGGCGTACTAAAAATTATGAATAGATAACTAAACGAAAATTTAGATGAAAATGACAATAAATTACATTCCAAAGTTACTTTTTGAGTAATATGAACATAGTATTATCACATACAATAAATATTTTCATCATATTAATACGTATGCAACATGAAATTAATAAATAATACAATCAATTTTAAATTTACGAATAATAGTTATACATTTTCATTAAAATTAACTAAAGTCTATTAATATCAACATTTATAATACATTTTTCCGTAGAAAAAGTTAGATAAATGCATTTCACAAGTAAACAATTATTCATGATACGATAAAAATGAATAAATTCCAGATTAGAAGAAAAACCCATTTAAGTACATTTTTTAAAGTTAATAGAGATAATATTGTTAATATATCAATGACAAAATATATTAATTATTAATTCGGTAGGTAAACACTTATTAAACACCTATAACGATAACATTTTAGTTATTTATATTTACATAAATTACTAAAAAGAAAAAAGATTTATCGTAGTCAACTACGTCATTCCACAATGTCTTACAAATTATAGAATTTGTTAGTAGTTGCACACAAAATGACATAACTATATTACTAATAGGTAAGTACACTGAATAAAATATAAATCTTTTTTAATAATCATATTCTAATAGGACGTCAGTAATAAATACAAACATCGAACTTCGAAATTAACATACCTATACATAAAAAGAAAAATATATTATATTATACCTAATACCTCTACCTATTATTTATTATTTATTATTTTTAATAGATAATAATAAAATGAAAATAATATATACTTTAATTACATTGTAAAATGTATTCGAAAATAATAATTATTAACAACATAAAATATATTAAATGATTAACCTTATATTAAAAATATCTCATTTAATTTATAATTGGCAACCATTCAACCCTATACAGCTAAAAATTGAACAGTGATTGTATTTTTTTAAAGTACTATAAAAAGTTACATCATAATCAGATAATTAAGATATTTAAAATGTAGATACGTGAAAAGTTTACATTGACCTTTCAATCCAATTCGGCAGTTATAACTTCGATAGAAGCTTTCACCAAAACATTTGAATTTTAATTAATGTATCTTTTACAGATGCATATTAGACATGATGCCTGAGATACCTAATAAGAATTATATTGCTTCATATTTGTTAACATTATTAATACCTATATGATAACAATCGACATCGTAATATCATTATTACTCGTACCTTTTGACGAAATATTTCTTTAAAACACAAGTTGTTTAGTGCTATTTTTACTTATGGCCTACTAATGTGCAATGACTATAACAAGAAGCCTAATTTTGTATTATAGTTATTACACCTTGCTATCTTATAATAAACAATATTTCAATATTTCATAACACTGAAATAGAAAGTAAACAAATTAGTGATTAAAAATGGTTATTTCATTTTCTATATAAGGCCTCCCAAATTTTCCAAATCCAAATTTACATAATATTATTTAGACTATGAATGAATTTTATACCCGTGTCAGCCAAAAATATACAGTTCAAAACAATCCCAGCTTGATTTACAATAGGCACTAGACACTACTTCAGTAGCCAACCATCATCTATTTTTAACGTCAATACCGAATACTCTGAATACTGTAGCTAGAACTAAGCCCTTCAATTAACACCTGAACATTTAATCACGTGTCATAATGACAAATATTATAATATACCATAGTATCGATAACAAGATTACAAATAGAATCAATGCAATAAGCATTATTCAATAAATCTAGTGATGTTCAGATCTAAAAATTAAATGCATTCTTATTATACTATACACCATTTATACGTGTTGTTATGCAAATAGTAATAAAAACAATACAGAAAAAACACTATGCAAACACATGCACACGTCACTAATAACCTAATTTACCAAAGCCGATATGACAATATCAATCTCAATTAACTCATTAATAATAATAATAATAATAATAATAAAAATAATAATAACAATAATAATAATAATAATAATAAAATATTTATTATAATTTATCATTATATTTGTTCGGCATACCAATGAAAAAAAAACTTAAAAATAAATGCTACAAAAATATTTCAAAAATTAAGATATTTAAAAGAATACTGAATTTTTCCTTCTTTAAATTTATTGTATAATACATAAAAATATAATAGACGGTTTAATATATTTATATTTATTTTACACGATATTAAAAATGTTGGTTGTAATACTTCATTTGTTAATTACTTTGAGAACATAAATGAAAATCAATTAAATGTATTATACCCACGAAATTAATCAGTTATATTTACTGTGTATAATTGTATGCAATTTATTTGATTTAAATATTGTGATCATTCAAACATAAAAATGTATTGTACCAAGTACGTAATTCAAAGTTCATAACCTACTATTTTTTTACACACATCGCAATTGATTGGTAGATACGAAATTGACTATTATAGTAATGAATAATGATATTCATTAATAAATGTATGGATTTTTTCAACAACGAAAGTCTCAAAATTCTCCATGTTTATCATGATTTTAATGGTAAAAATTAAACCGTTTAGGCACGAAGAATAACTGTACAAATCGTCGGACTCAATATGTGTATAAGGATAATTTTATCTCGTTGGTAAAAAAATTTATATAATCTATAAATTTAAAATATTTTAACTATCTCCGTAACCAAAATATTACACACAATCGCGTTAGGACAATCCACACAATCCAGGAATACGAAATTACATTTGATATCAACGACACGTACACCAAGAAATATTGTAACGTCTTGTAGTATATACGTACGGATGACCCCCTTTTTGATTAAATAACAATAATCTTGGAAACTAGACAGTCAGTTT